GTCACCAAGCCCACAGTGTCACCAAGCCCACAGAGTCACCAAGCCCACAGTGTCACCAAGCTCACAGGGTCGCCCCACGTCATTCCTGCCTGGAATGAACCCACCCGTGGCGCCCAGGGAAGGCAGCCCAGCTCCTGAGGCCGTGGGCGGTGCCGTGTGGCCAGGCGCTCCCAGGACCCCCAGGAGGACCCGCGGCTCTGCCCGTGTGCAGGCGCTCCACCKCCCTTCCTTGCCAGGACCCCGCGGAGCCGAGCAGGTCAGCTCTTCCTTTGCTGAGTCCAGAGGAAGAACCCTCCAAACGCACGTCTGCTCGTTGATGCTCCCGATGGCCCTGTGGGGCTGGACTACTGTCCCCATTTACAGACAGGTCACCYGAGTCTCCTGGAGGTGCACTGGCCAGGGGTCTCAACTGAGCAGGCTCAAGTCCACCCTGTCCTGCCCGAGAGCCACCTGCTGCCACCTGCTGCCACCTGCGCCTGTTCCCACCCCGWCTGCCCGGGCAAGATGGCTCAGCTCTGACCCCTGCTTGCTGGTCTCTGCTCACCAGGAGAGGAGGCCGCTCACCCCCACTCTACTCCCCAGCGCCTAGTCTCCARCGCCCTCAAGGAAGCCATGGCGGCATGAGCCACCCCAGGCCTCAGGACAGCACTTCTGCGTCCTGGACACCTTCTCCAGGGAGGGGGACGAGGGACCCACCGTGCAGCCCACTCCGGCCCTCCCTGGAGTGCCCGGTCCTCGGCCTGTGCCRTCCTCCCCAGCTCCTCCTGCTCAGGAGCTCCTGGGGCCCGCGGCACCTGCCGGCGCTCAGCACAGGAAGTCACTAGCCAAGTCACGGGTTGRGCTTCAACGACGCGGACTCTTCTTCACCGTCTCAAAATAGGACCCGCATCTGGCTGCAGGAAGCCCAGCGATGGAGGGAGGCCGCGTAGGGCCTGTCACGTCTCCATAAAGGCCGAGGAAGGACACGCTCCGGGGCCCTGTCCAGCCCTTCCTCTGGGCACGCTGTCCGGCACCGGCTGAGAGCACAGTGCGTGGCAGCCCCATTGGGTGCCCGTGGGCAGTGGACAACCTGCACAACTGTGCCTGGGGCTCACGCCCACTCCCATCCAGCTACAAAGGTGCCCTGGGTAGGCCCCCGAAGAGCCCGGTGTGCCAACTGGTTGTTGTCACAGGTGCTTTTTCCCAACTGAGGTGAAATTTGCATAAAATTAATCACTTTAACACGAGCATCCCAGAAACCATAGGTCCGTTCACYGCATGGTGCTGCCACCTGTACTCAGCTCCAGAACCGTCTCATCGTCCCGGAAGGGATCCCTGGACCTACTAAGCATCGTCCTCTCCTCCTGCTCCCAGCCCTGGCCACCACCCCGTGCTTCCTGTGTGTTGGGGACACCTTTGTCTCTGTAGAATGACCAACCCTGGCCCCATTCCAGCAGGAAGTGGCCCTAGAGAGCGCTGCCCTGGACACACTGTCCCCTGCCTCAAGGAGGGTAGTGTGACACGGGAATGTGCTTAATCAGAGGTCCCAGGAGGAGATGCCTGGGGACCTGGTGGCCCTCCTTGCCCCTGGGCCCTGTGACACCAGGAGCTGGCTCACCCCTCCTGGTGCCCAGGGAGGCCCAGCGCCCCYGCACCTGGCTGTGCTGGCTCCTGAGGGCTTGCTCCCTGCAGGTCCTCAGACCCTTGGGGCCAGACTGGGACTTGGGTCAGGGGACTCCCCAGAACCAGCAGCCCAGAGCCCTCCAGGCGCTTCGAGACCAGCAGTGCGCTCATCTTGAGCTGGGGGCTCCGGCCACGGCCCTCCCCACTGGGCTGCCGTTGGGTGAGCCGGGCGGCCTCATGGGAGGAGTGGGGTCTGGGGGTGGTGGCAGGCGTGGGCCCCCACGTGGCCGTGCTCTGGGCCAGCGGCCTCTGTGGTCACACAGGCACATGACACTCTGGAGATGGGCCAGGGTTGGCTGAGGAGGTGGGGGGAGCAGGTGCCCTCCTGGACAGCTGTGGATCTGRTGCGCTTCTGGGTGTGTGGGCGAGCGGTGCAGGGCCCTTGGACAGCCCCTAAGACGGCCACCCCCACCTCCTCCCTGTGTCCAGGCCATTGCCCCAGCCTTGCCCCCAAGCAGACCACAGGGCGGCCCCCAGTGGGGTCTGCACGGTRAGCACGTACCCCGGTACCCAGGTAGCAGACTCCCGGGCACAGGGGACACGGGGATGGGGTGCGGCCAGCCCAGGTTTAAACAGGGCCCAATTCCACCCGGAATGCACACTGCTCGCCTCGTGGGAAACTGGGTCTCCAGGAGAGTCGTGTGGGACAAGGGTGGCCTAGGCCATTGGCTGGTGTCTTGACAAGAGGAGACCAAACAGACCCGGGAAGACGGCAGGAGGCAGGGGTGGGAGGGATGTGGTGGCGGCAAGGACGCCTGGGCTCTGGCCTCGAGGCAGGAGGACAGGGTGCTGCCGGGTTAGGCTGCAGAGTGCCGTCCTCTGAGGCRGCAGCCACGGGGCACGCACACAGCCCCAGGTAGATCCGTGCGCGTCGAAGGAGCAGGGTGGCCATCTGTGCCATCTCACCTGGAGGGTCCCCTCCACATCCAGGACCCCGTCACAGGGAGGGCGCGGGCGCTCGCCTGGCCAGGAGGAAGCCAACCAGCCCCCACCGGGCAGATGGTGCTGGTGATGGCCACGGTGGCCCTGGTGACCAGACGGTCCCCAGATGGCCCTGGGGGAGGCTCAGGAAGATCAGAGCTCAGTGCCCACCAGTCGACAGAGCAGAGGGGGGTGATGGGGGCAGGAGACGTGGGGAGGGTGGCACGCGGGGGGGGGCACACTTACTCCAGCAGCCGCTGGTGGTTGAGCTCGTGCGAGGGGGGCATCCGGCAGCAGCTGAAGGTGACAATGAGTCTCCCGCAACGGTCGTCCCCTGTGGGAACAGRCACAGGCGTGAGCCTCGGCCCAGCTTCCCCGGAAACCCCCAGGCGCAGCCCTGAGCTCCCCCTGCTTGTCACCAAGGGGGTCCTCACGGCCGYCCGTGCGCTGGAAGACTGAGGCCCACTGGTAGGTCCCCAGGGCCAGGCCTCACCGCTGGCTGGTGGCCCCTGGGATTTCAATCCAGACACATCGGCTGCTCTGAGCGCCCCTCCTCCCCACACCCCCACCCCAGGGCTTCCCTCGAGCTCCGGGCCCTGGAGGCCGCAGGTGGCCCAGAGTAGTCACCCTGGACAGGACCTTGCATCCAGGACAGGGCCCTCTCAGAAGAGGTCAGCCCTGTCCAGCATGGCCTCTCGACACATCTGTGCCGGCTCCATGCAGGACAGCCACASGGGTGCTCTTGAGAGCTGTGTCCCGAACCCAGACTCGGGGCGGGGCTCACAGCAGGTGCTCAGTGAGACCAAGACAGCCAGGACCCTGGGGCTTTGCCTGCCTCCACCTGGGGCAGGAGGTCGGGCACACTCTGCAGCCGGACCCTCCTGCTGCAGCCCCCCACCCACACCCGTGGCCAGGAGGAGGGCCCAGCCCACAGCCTTCCTCTCTCCACTCCCTGGCGCTGAGCGGGAGGATCCCTGGGGTTCAGCAAGGCTTGGAGGGGCCTAAGTCACGTGCTGGGGACAGCCCTGGCTTCCAGACCCCTGAGCCTCCTTGTCCCCCAGCCCTGGCTGGGGGACGAGGGCGGATGGAGCAGGCTGCCCTGGCTGCCACACCCATGGCTTCCCTCACAACCAAACACGAGACACCGGAAAGCACACTCGGACACGCGCCAAGGCCATGGGCAACAGGGGAGGGACACCAAATCCTGGGACGCCCCGAGGCAGACGGGTGAGGCCCAGGCCCCTCCTTTCCTGAAAGCTTCCTGCCACCTGGACGTCACCCCTCCTCCTGACCCGGCAGCCGGCCACAGACCTGCAGCACCCACCTGTCRTAGGTGAGGGAGCAGCAGAGGCCCCGGGGACAGGCACAGAGGGCCCTGGGGACAGGCGCGGAGGCCCACCCAGCAGACAGTGCAGGGCTAAGGCCTCGGTCAGCCTGCTGAGGTGGGGTCGGAGGCGAGGCCTGGCTTCCATGGGCATCCTGGGGCCCCAGGGGGAATCTGGGACAGAAAGTGCCCAGACGTGGCCACCCCAGTGTGCACGCTGCTCCCTCTCCTGTCCTCCCGGAGCCCCCGAGGCCTGCGGCCACCAGGCACACGTGGTGTTGAAGTTTAAATACACCCCAGGAGGGGGAGCCCGCTGCTCCTTAGTGGCACTGCCACATTCGCCCCCAGGTGGCGAGACGGGAGGCTGAGGCAGGAGGATCACCATTTCAAAGCCAGCCTCAGCAACTTAGCGAAGCCCTAAGAAACTTAGCAAGACCCTGTCTCAGAAGTAAGGTGGGTGGGGCGCTGGGACGTGACTCGGTGGTTAAGCGCCCCCGGTCAGTCCCAGTACAAAAAAAAACTTAAATTGAACCGTCCTGAGTGAGGCTGGCTGGTCCTATGATGGCAGGTCACAACTCAGCATGGCCACAGGGTGCAGCCAGGGAGGTGCTGGAGCCCTGGCCAGCGCTTTCCTTCCTAGGGTGACTGACCGATGTCACTGGCCAGTCTCTAGCCGCTCCCCCAGGGTCCAAGCCCCACCCCTGGGACCTCAGCAGCCTACCTGGTCACCCGAGCGACCTCACAGCATGACCTATCTAAGCCCCGGGGGACACTCCAAGGACTCAATCCAGGGTCACAGTCCAGGCAGGTGTGTTGTGCAGCACGGGGTCTGGCCCTGCAGCTGCCCACAGGGGACTGCAGGGCAGCACTGAGCGCCCGCGAGAGGCGGCTGCGGGGGAGGAGTGGTTGAGGGCAGCGGGCGGGGGTGACTCAGGACCCGGGGTCGGCCAGGACCAGCACAGCTGGAATGGGACACAGGAGAGGGAAGAAGGGTTCAGGGCCCCAGACAAGGAGGGCTAAGAGTGGACGTGGACCTGTTGACAGTGGGGGTCAGGGAGGAGGTTGGGACAGATCTGCCGGGTCACTGGAAGGCCTCAGGCCATGGGGCAGGGTCCCCTGGGTAGAGAGAGTGAGGTGGGGTGGGGGACACAGGGTCAGTGATGGGGGCAGGAAGGCCATGTGAGGAGGCTCCCCCGGCTCAGGTCCGCAGCAGGGCCTCCCAGTGGGGAGCGCTGGGCTATGGGGGGCCCCAGGTGGGGCTGAGTCAGGCCAGGAGACAGACGAGGCCTTCGAGCACCCCAGAGTGACCACCGGGGATAAACAGGGCCAGGAAGGCCAGGGCTGGAGAAGCAGAGGCCAAGGAGATGGCCAGGGACAYGCCCCGCAGGCCTGATGGGAGCGTGGGTCCTGTGGCCCCTGCTCTGGGGGGACATGAGGCAGGAAGCCAAACGTCCACGGCTGCTGCACACTGAGACGGTCAGGAGAGACCACTGTGCCCCATGCCTGATAATCTGGCCAGCGGGTCCAGGGGCGGGGAGGGTGCAGGGACAGGGCAAGAGGGCAGGGAAGGATGGGTTCCAGCAATGGGGTGTCAGGTGTGCTGACCATGCCTGGAGGCCATCCACCACCAGAGAGAGAGGGGACAGAGGCCCCCGGGCGGAGCAGGGCAAAGGCACTCGGCAGGAGTGGACAGGAGCCTGAGCCCACTCGGGCCAGTCCCCTGTCTCCACCCGCATCCTTCTCACTCATTCCCTTCAAAACACTTGCTGAGCACCTACTATGTGCAGGGTCCATGGATACCATGATACTGGACTGTGAAGATGAGCTGCCGTCGAAGCTTTTAAACCCCAACCCTCAAAATAAATAAAATAAAATAAAATAAAAAACCCAAAAGGGCAAAAACTTGGCACTTTATTTTCACATCAATAGGGTTTTTTTGTGTGTGTGCTGGTCCTGGGGATGGAACCCAGGCCTCACGCGTGCCAGGCAAGACTTCACCAAGCCACATCCCCAGCCCTTAAAAAAAAAAACCCTGCACTTCAAGACAGGGTCTCGCTAAGTTGCCCCGGCYGGCCTCCACCTTGGATTCTCCTCCTCAGCCACCACAACTCCCAGATGACCGGCCAGCCTCCCTGTCCCGGCATGATGGGGACAGTAATAAAGCTGACCTTGGGGGCTGCAGGAAGGGGAGCCAGCCCACTGGACACCCTGGGCGAGCCACACACAGTGCTCATGATGACAGAAGCCTGGCGCTTCAGGAGGGCTGCGCCCTGTCACCTCGCAGGAGAGGAAACTGAGGCCCAGAGGCCAGGGGAGGGCCGGGCAGGGGGCCAGCCTGCAGCCGCTACCTCTGAGCAGCGCCCGCCTCCCCCAGAGCCTCCTCTGCTCCCCCACCGAGGGTCTGCTCTCCCCGGTTCTCGGACACGGGCGTCCTCAGCAGCCCTGAGGGTTCCCTGGAACATTCCTGCTGCAGCCATGACGTCACCGTCACCGTGGCATCTGCACCAAGGACCTCGGTGGAGGTGAGAAACCCCTCGCTGTGCTCTGGGAACACAGGTCGCGGATCCAGAAGGCTTCGCGAGGTCGCAGCTTGGAAGGAAATGAATGCAGCCCACGCAGAGCAGGATCCGCCAGGCCCAGGGTGGATCCGCGATTTCCCCTCCGCTGCTCCCAGCACAGCTCCCTGGCGGCCCAGGATGGGGTGTGCGCGAAGGAGCCCAGCGCCCAGGACCTCCCTGCGCCTCTCCTCCAGGCGCCCGCTGGTCCAGGCTGGTGAGCGCAGCAGGCCCCAGGCTCCTCCAGCTGTCGGCCTCTGTTTCCAGCTTTTGTCGACGGCCGCAGCCATTTCCGCGGACGTGGAGGAGATCTGAGGGCTCGCCTGGTCTGCGTCCTGCAGGAGGCCAGCTGCCCGCTGGGCTCTGTGAGGAGGGCGCACTTCTGGGTCCAGCACAAGATCCTGTGTGACCTCTCCTTCTCTTCCCTGCCAGTTGCCCCTCCACATCTCTGAGACTGTGCCTCCCGCCTCCTCTGGTCCCTGGGCCTAGAGCCTTCCATCTCCCACCTGCTTCCCGCCACCTGCCCTCATTCTGAGCCTGGGCCCCAGATCCAGGCTTCAGACCCCCCAAACACGCTTTCCCCACTAAGACCACTTCTCTTTTTCTTTTGGTCCTGGAGAGTAAACCCAGGGGTGCTTCAGCCCTGAGCCACACCCCCAGCACTTTCTATTTTTCATTTTGAGACAGGGTCTCACTAAGTTGCTGAGGCTGGCCTTGAACCTGCAATCCTCCTGCCTCAGCCTCCTGAGTGGCTGGGATCATGGTCATGCACCAACACACCCAGCCCAACCATCACCTCTTCTTAAAATACCGAAGTCAATGATATTTATGAAACATCACTCGGCGGGTTAGAATTCTACGGAGCTTCCGTTTAGCCAGACACATAACGCCTGGGTTGTGAGGGACTGCTCAGAAAGGTTTTTTAAAAAACCTCAGTGAAAAATTTTCTTCATGGTAGATGGACACAAGACCTTTATTTTATACGCAGCCCTGAGGCCGGAACCCAGGGCCTCACACGTGCTGGGCGAGTGCTCCACCCTGAGCCCGGCCCAGCCCTCAGAACTGCTTTGACAAGTCTCTGGATTTGGCTGTGGTCTGGCTTTGCCCCGAGAGGAACCCGTCCGTCAGGGGGCCAGGTCTGGCTGGACTTGAAGGACATGGTCAAGCCCTTGTTGAAAGGGCCCCAGAAGAAAGGGGACCGTGAACTGTCCCTAGGGACCACTCAGGAGCAGGAGCCAGAGTTAGAGATGAGGGAAGGAGGGGCGGCCGGGAGGAGGGGCGGGGCGGCAGGGAGGCCCGGTCAGCTCCCCACCGGGGGCTCTGGTGCCAGCAGCTCAGGAGCCTCAGGAGGCGACTCTCCCCATCCTCAGCCTCTGCCCCCCAGGCTGGGACCGCTGGCTGCTCTAAAGCGAGGGGTTCTTGACCCTGCCGTCCCCTCCGCCTCCTGTGAGCTTCTCCAGGGCTTCTCAGAGTGGCCCGAGGCCGTCACCTGCTCTTTGAAAATGGTGACATTTCTAAGAAGCTCCTTTTGAAAACTTTGCTCCAAAACAGAAGAACTGTCTGGGACCTGGGGACCAGGGCCACACACCACTCCAGGGACCCTGCAGCAGTGGACCAGCCAAGCGGCAATTTCACGGTGTCTCTGGGAGGACCCTGGGCACAACCTCAGGCGTGTCCACAGCCCCTTAATGACACTGAAGGACCCACAGCACCCTCCAAGTCTGGTCCTCTGTGGTGGCCCGGTCATCTGCTGCGGGCCGAGCCCTGCGTCCCTCTCTCGTGACGCTAACGTCCCAATGATGAGCTGGTGAAGAGATGCCCCTGCAGGCTGTGACCCGGGCAGYGGGCAGGGAGGTGGGGACGGGCAAGCCCTGCTGGCTCCAAGGACGGAAAGCCACACAGCTTTGTGGTCATGTGAATGTCACCAAAAATCAGACTTCAGGACAAGGAGCCGGAGGACACCAAGCCACCCAGGAACAACACCAGGACAACGTGAGACCAGCCGCCCAGGTGTTCGCCTCCCAGCTGCACAGCGTCCAGCACGGGAAGCCAAGGAGGGCGGAACYGAAGGACCTGGACAGGCCAGCAGAGAGCTCAGACCAGGAGGAGGCGGGAGAGCTGACCAGCTCAACCCATCAATTAACCCCGTAAAGACCTAGACCGCCACCCACACTGCACTCAGGCACCCAGCTGGGTGGTCACTGCCCCACCAACTCCCAGGTCTCAGAACCCAACAGTCCTCTAGGGGCTACTATTAAGAATCTCAAGGAGTGTTTTAAAAACATGTGGGTCAGCTGAGCGCGGGGGTGCACACCTGTAGTCCCAGAGGCTCAGGAGGCTGAGACAGGAGGATCAAGAGTTCAAAGCCAGCCTCAGCAACTGCGAGGCACTCAGCAACTCAGTGAGACCCTGTCTCTAAATAAAACACAAAATAGGGCTGGGGACGTGGCTGAGTGCCCCTGAGTTCCATCCTCAGTACCAAAAAAAAAAAGCAGGACCCTGTGCAGATATTTGCCCTGCTGCCTCCCAGAACAGAGAATCTGAGAACAGTTACTCATTTGTCCATCTAAAGTTAACACTCAGCCCATCTTATAGAAACACTAACATATTTTTTGTGCCTTATGAAAAGCCACGGTTTCCTACCTTTCCTGGGCACCTGATCTCTGGATCTGTGTCCCCAATGTCTGCCCTGAGCGTTTTCTCAAACGACCTGGGGGTCTTGGAGCTATGGGGTGCCCGTCCAACCCCGCCTCTGATCCCTCCTGTGTGTCAGTGGACACCAAGATGCTTCCTCTCCTTGACTCTGGGTCTCCACCGAGCGAGAGCTGGCCTCTCTTTGCCTCTTACTTCTCTAGGACCCAAGCTCCGGGGAGATGAGAGTGGGACGGACGTGACTGCAGGGGACCCAGGAGCGGGGCTGGGGTCCCTGTTCACTTGAGAAGCTCGCGCGGAGGGTCCCTGATCGAGGCCCAGGCTGCGTGCTGCAGTGTGGGTCCCTCCGACGGCGCTGGGCGGGCTGCAGGTCTGCTGAGCCCGTGCAGAGGCCTGCTGCTCTGGGCCAGGAGCCTGGCCGCGCCCTTCTTCACCACACGCTCCCTGCAGCCGGGGCTGCTGCTCCCCAGAGTGACGGAGCACGGTCCCTCCGCTCCTCAGAGCTCCCGGCCACGCGCTGACAGGTGTCACTGCCCCCTCAGAGCAGAGGCAGGTGTCTCTRCCAATCACCGTCTCGTTTCTGGACRTCGCCCAAGGGAGGCCAGACGGTCGGAGAGCCTGTCCCACCCACAGGGCCCTGATCTGACTTACCTGCCACCTGCAGGATGCCATGTCTGGCCACATCGTAGAACGGGTGGCTTGTGCTCAGTGCAGGGTCCTGGCCAGCCATGGGCCACGCAGAGCCTTCCCCCAGCACCCAGCGCAGAGGTCCCCTCCCGGTCTCCGCAGCCCTGCAGTGGACAGCAAGCGTTGGAGGAGGTCAGTCGCGTTCTCGAATAAGGAGGGGAGTGGGGGACCCTCCTGAGGTCCTTCTTCTTTTGGGGTACCAGGGATCGAACTCAGAGGCACTCGAACACTAAGACACATCCCCAGGCCGATTTTGTATTTTATTTAGAGACAGGTTCTGAGTTGCTTAGCGTCTTGCTCTTGCTGAGGCTGGCACTGAACTCGAGATCCTCCTGCCTCAGCCTCCTGAACTGCTGGGATCACAGGCGTGAGGCACCACACCTGGCCTGAAGTCCTTTTCTAAGACAGTCACCTGCCTCTGCTCTGTACCTGCTCTGACACAAACCCACGACGTGCCCACCTGTGCCGGGCACCCATGGTGCACTCTAACTCAGCTGAGCACCCACCATGTTCACCCAGTGAGTAGCACCATGGAGGAGGAAAAATGAGACCCAAGATGAATTCTGTCCACACCRGCAGGAGTGGGAACTACGGCCCAGAGAGCGACTTGCCCGAGGCCACACTGCGGTGGATCGGGACCTAAGTTCCAGCTCTCTGACCCAGGTCCCAAGAAGCTGCCTGCCTGGCCGCGGAGGAGGCTGGCGCGAAGCCTGGGAGGGCTGGAATGAGTGGCAAGGCAGGAGGGAGCTGGGGGAAGGAGAAGGGGACTGGGGGTTGCAAGGTGGGCGTAGGCTCCAGTCCCCGATGTGGCTGAGTCTTATCTGGAAACAGCGTCTTGGGGGCAGTTAGTGGGTCAGGTCACTGTAGATGCAGGGGACCCTAATGCAGCGGCTGGTGTCCATGAGGAGAGCCTGCAGAGGGCTTCCAGGTGTGGCGGAGGCAGAGACCGAGATGGAGCGGCCAGCCCTCCAGGGACGTCGGGAGCCACCAGGAGCTGTAAGTGGCAGGAAGGCCCCTCCTCGCAGCCTCGGGAGGAGTGTGGTCCTGCCCACACCTGGATCGTGGACTCTGGCCCCCGGAATTGTGAAAGAGTAACTTCTATGTCACCAAGTTCATGGTCATTTGTCACAGCAGCCCTGGGAGCCCGGCGAGGGGCTGGGCTTTACCCAGGGAGCCCAGGGGCCTCCTGCCTGCTGCACAGGGCGAGGTTCTTTTGAGCATGTGAAAGTATGACCTCCGGGAAGTGGGTCCCCAGGAGGATGTGTGCACTGCCCCTCCCCCTCCACCAGCTGCTACAGGTCCAGCCTGGACACACCCTCCCAGCAGGAGGGGCCCTGGGCCAGACCATCCTGTCCTGGCCCAAGGCTGCCACCACCAGGTCTGGCAGGGGCGTCTGCCCACTCTCAGGGAGAAGCCCGGGGTGGGGACGCCCTTCCAGGGCCCGGCTGCGTTTTCGTTTCTCCCTAAAATGAAAACCGCGCGCGGTGTCTGAACGCCGGCATCTGATCAGAACTTGTCTAATTAAACACAACGTAAGCGCTGAGTTCCCAGACTCAGCAACCCACGGCGGCACAAACACACGTGGACACGTGGGCTGGTTCACACCGCACCACGGCCACCGACGGTCCCCAAGGGACACCCACCCGGGAAAGGAGTCATGCCCACAGCTGCCCCACAGGGGGCGCCCTGCAGAGTGTCACGTGAGCTGCGGCCACACGGCTCCACACGGTGGGGGGCCTCGCAGTCACGTGGAGCGTCAGACGCAAAAGAGGGTGGACAACTCCATCCACGAGGGGTCAACACCGGGCTGGGCGCCTTCTGTTTCCAGGCTCCACAGGCAAGGCCTGGGGACGGGCCTGGCCCCAGGGGACACGCAGAGGACTCCTGCTGAGGGCAGGCTGAGCGGGTCCTGGAGCAGGCGGGTCCTGGGCGGAGGACAGCTGCAGAGTCCCCGGCCCTCCAGTGCCTTCAGGAGCAGAGGCAGCCCAGAGGGGACCTGAGACCCAGTCTGTGTGGTGCAGTGGGGCCAGCTGGCCGGGGACAGCAAGGTCCCCACCCCAAGGGTGATCGTGGGGCAGGAGATCAGCGACACTGTCCACAGCCAGTGGACAATGACTTCCTCCCCTGCCTCCAGCCTCCCATGCCCCTCCACAGAGATGGCCATCCTGTGACCAGGCGGCAGATGCCACTGTCACTTGTCTCCCCAGTCGCAGAGAGCAGCTCTGCTGTGTTTGCTCAGGACCCTGTGCGTGGGGATGAGGGGTCAATGGGGGGTCACGCACAGGGGGCTGTGTTAGGGTCTGTAAACAAGTCAGGATGGCACCTGGCATTTTGCCAGAGGGAGTGGCTTGTGAAGTGACGCCA